TTTTGTTATGTTACAGCCTTATTCCAAATTGTATAAAATTAATATCTTTCCTCAAACATCATTGAACATTATTGAACATTATTATTGTTATTGTTTACCTTATTTCTTTATATATTGTTTTTTTTTTAAACATTTTAGGAACTTTTGTGTGAATCTTTTTATCTGTTGCTGCTGTTACACTTGAATTTCCTATCCGTGGGACAATAAAGGCTCTATTCTATTCTATTCTATTCTATTCTATTCTATTCTATTCTATTCTATTCTATTCTATTCTACTCTACTCTACTCTACTCTACTCTACTCTACTCTACTCTACTCTACTCTACTCTACTCTTTTCTATTCTATTCTACTCTATTCTACACGCAACACTACATTATAACAATGTGAAAAAGATCGAGATTTCTGCACATTTATTAGAAATAGAAAACTAAGAAATCATATTTATGTAAGTGTTCACAGCCTTTGCCATGAAGCTCAAAATGGAGCTCAGATGTATACTGTTTCCACTGACCATCCTTGAGATGTTTCTACAACTTAAATGGAGTCCACCTGTGGTGAATTCAGTTGATTGGAATTAATTTGGAAAGGCACACGCATATCTATATAAGGTCCGACAGTGGACAGTGCATGTCAGAGCACAAACACCAAGCATGAAGCCAAAGGAACTGTCTGTAGACCTCCAAGACAGGATTGTCTTGAGACACAAATCTGGGGAAGGATACAGAAAAATTTCTGCTGCTTAGAAGGTCCCAATGAGCACAGTGGTCTCCATCATTCATAAATGGAAGACATTTGGAACCACCAGGGCTCTTCCTAGAGCTGGCCGACCATCTAAACTGAGTGATAGGGGGAGAATGGTCTTACTCAGGGAGGCAACCAAGAACCCAATGGTCCACTCTGTCAGAGCTCCAGTGCTCTCTGTGGAGAGAAGAGAAGGACAACCACCTCTGCAGCAATCCACCAATCAGGCCTGTATGGCAGAGTGACCAGACAAAGTCCACTCCTTAATAAAAGGCACCTGAAGGACTCTCAGACCATGAAAAACAAGATTCTCTGGTCAGATGAGACAAAGACTTAACTCTTTCGTGTGAATGCCAGGCGTCACGTTTGGAGGAAACCAAGCACCGCTCATCACCAGGCCAGTACCATCCCTACAGTGAAGCATGGTGGTGTCAGCATCATGCTATGGGGATAGTTTCTGAAGCAGAAACTGGCAGACTAGTCAGGATAGAGGGAAAGATGAATACAGCAATGAACAGAGAAATCCTGGAGGAAAACCTGCTCCAGAGAGCTCTTGACCTCAGACTGGGGTGATGGTTCATTTTTCAACAGGACAACGACCCAAAGCACATGACCAAGATATCAATAGAGTGGGTTCAGGACCGCTCTGTGAAGGTCCTGGAGGGGCCGAGCCAGAGTCCAAACTTTAATCTGATTGAACATCTCTGGATAGATCTGAAAATGGTTGTACAGGCATGTCCCATCCAACCTGATGGAGCTTGAGAAGTATTGCAAAGAAGAATGGGACAAATTATCTAAAGAAAGGTGTGCGAAGCTTGAAGCATCATATTCAAAAAGGCTTGAGATTGTAATTGCTGCCAAAAGTGAATCAACAAAGTATTAATCAAAGGCTGTGAATACTTATGGAAATGTGAATTCTTAGTTTTCTATTTTTAATAAATTTGCAAAAATCTCAATCTTTTTTCACATTATCATAATGGAGTATTGTGTGTAGAATTTTCAAGAAATATATTAATTTAATACAATGTGGAATAAGGCTGTAACATAGCAAAATGTGAGAAAAGTGAAGCGATGCGAGTATTTTCCAGATGCACTGTAGGCCTGTGTGTGTGTACACAAAATAGAAAACAGTCTTCCTTTTGTTCTAAAAACACTAGGAATTCAGTAGGATAGCAATGGTAAATTAGTAAATTTTCTCACATTATATCACGGACTAGTCTCCAGCAGGCCAGTGAGATCCATCTGTAGCCAGGCTGAGTGGCTGCTGGCTACATCTTTAGATTTAACTTTACTTAGAGACACTTCTTTCCTACTGGATTTTTCTCAAGAAAAACTAGTAGAATTGCATGACTTGATCAATTCTCCACACTTTACTAGTTTGCCTCATTAAACAGTGAGTGCATAAATGTTTATTGATAATGTGGTGAGGGTGCAAGACTTCTACAACACCAAAGGATGCAAGTATAAGAAACAAACAAGATGAAAAAAGGTATAGTCAGGGATTTAAACCATGTGAAGCATCCAAAAACCCAATCCCCAGTCATTATTGTGTTGTTTTTGTTTAGTTCTAGTTACGGTTTTTCAGGCAGCAGAAGACCGATGGGTCAGTTGGTCAGTCAGTCAGTAGGTTGGTATGTTTTTGGTATTTTGGTTGGCCATGTTACCACAGGCCGTTAGCCAACGTTCAGCTTTGTTGAGGTTTCAGGTCTATGGCAGAAGGTCCGGTTTCTCAATAGCAGCATCAACATAAAGGTTGATTTGAATCATTATAATACTACTACTTATACCTATTACTACTTATACCACTATTACTACTACTACTACTACTACTTTAATAATAATAATAATAATACTAATAATAATAATAATATAATAATAATGGCCATCTCAGAGTTGAAACTAACTCTTAAAGGCAGATCCCTCCTAATCCTATTAAACCTGGGCTGGACCTGGCAAGACAGGACTAAGAGGGGGGTGTTTAGGTCCACAATGAATAGGTGTGTAAAGTAGGTCCATAGCAGACAGGTGGTAGTGCAGTGGAGGGGAGTACAGAACAAAATGAAGCTGAGGTCCTGTTGGAGATAAACCATTTGTAAAGAGAAAAAACAGTTGACACTTTGAACATCTGAATTATTTAAGAAATACCCCTCTACACACGTAAAAGATATTAACAACGAGGAGTCAAATTCAGCCATCTTCAGCTTTCTGTTTCATGAATCAGTCACTGAAATGCTTTGTTCGTACAGATTATTCAATTCTTTCCCTGAAATCCAGGGAACTGACAGACGTTGGGCCAGGGCTTAATTTGTAAACCGATCGATCCCAGAACGCAAATAGCGGGTGGATAAGCAGAGCACGGTGGTGGGGGTGTATCCTGGGGGTCCTCCCCCAGAAAAATTTGAATAAAGTAGATGCCATTTTTTGAAATTTGGTGTATTTGAACGGGTTGTTAAGCATCTATGTTTACCTACATTTGTAATCACTTAATTAAATTACTATTTTATGCCCCTTTTCCACTGTCATGGCGCGGGTCAGATATTTCCGGCTTGACCCGTGTTTGAGGTCTTTTCCATGGTTCTTGGGACCGGCTCGCCTCCCTAAATTCTTAATTAAAATAACTTCTAACTTTTAACTTGTAAATTAGAGAGCATAGGTGTGAACAGAGCAGCTCCGATTCTGTCGTGTCCTAACCCTCCCCTCCTCCCTCCCTTCGCTTCATCGTTTCAAGCCCAACTCTTCTCCGCTGAATTCAGTTCTGTGCGTTGTTGTTCCTGCTCCAATCTCAATTACCACCACCTTCAGATGCTTCAGTTCTCGGTTGTCCAACTAAGGACAATCCATCCATCCATTTTTTATTAAAGTAAATTGGACTGTCTTTCCGACATTTTGATTGCTGTTATTTTGACAAATTAGCGCTGTTGTTTTGATACGTGATGTAATGTGAATAATGCACATCAAACATTTCTCTCGTATTTATTTATTTAGATTGTAAGCTTTTTAAAATTTATTATGTCTGAAATGTATGTTGGAGTTCTGACACATCAGCAGTTGTGCGCGCGCTCTGTAGAGCTGTCTGAAGATACTCCTGTGTGTAACGTGCACTGTCCGCAGGGCGCACCACTGGAGGTGTTAGATGAAGATGCTTCATCTTCACAGGACATGCCATCCACATCTCTGCTGGGGAGGAACGTGCGCGCGAGCTGCAGCCGGAACATCCACTCCACAGACTGGATCCGCAGGGTCAAGGGCAACGAACGTCTTATTTTTTAATAAATAATGAAAATTTTTATTAATAATCCACTTACACTGCAAAACTGATTTGCAATTTAATTGTGCTGTTTAATTATAGTTTTGAGATTTTTAATAAAAATGCGCAATGATTTTGGACTTTTAGGGGTGGAGATTTGAGTTGCCCGATCCAAGCAAACAATTTCTGGAACGCAGCCTGTCAAAATAAGAGAGTTCCCGGATTTTGTTCTGGCAGGATCCAGCTCAAATTAAGCCCTGCATTAAGTGAGAATGCCAACGTAAACTGAGTTCTGGTTGAAAAGTATCTGTAAGAGGCAGAACCTGAACAGAGTAGGTCTGATTTGAGGTAACTCTTGGTGGTCAAAAGTGTTGTCTTGAATGCATAAGTAGCTAGATGCTCCCTGGGCAAAAAGGGTGAGCATTAGAAGGGTTTAAGGTGAGGTTTCAGTTGAAAAGAAAGTGCTATAGGACACTGAGAGCAAATATACAGGCAAGCATAAAAAATGGCCCAAAATAATTTTTTTAAATCCTTTTTTTTTTTTTTTTTGCAGTTTGCAATATTTACCCATCAAGCAGATTCAGTGCTATCTTTTGTAGATATGTATCTTGATTTTCTTTCAGAAAAAAATAAAATAAATAAAAGGCTCAATGGGCTTCGAGAACCAAAATTAAACCAAAAACATTGTTTAAGTACTGACTTCAGTCGCAGTCATTCTGAGAGTTTTGGATTAGTTTTGCTTTTAAATGACCATAAGACAACACTGGCTGGGTGTTTTGTCAAACTTTCCCAAACTTCACAGGAAAACGTCTAAATGAACCCTTTTACTCACTTCTGATTTTCATTAACCACCACAATCAATGAGCTGAACTTGTCCTCCAGGTCTCCTCCTCCTGTGGTGGTGAGGAGCTTCCAGACAAGGTTCCTCTGCTCCTTCTCAAAAACCATCGGCTTCAGGCCGAATCTAGAAGGGAAGATGTCAGCGATTGTTTTGGGTATGGCAGAGATGATTTGTTGCCTCGGTTCTGTTCACAAATTCTCACCAAAGAAAGGTTTTAGTGGCCGAACACTCAGCAGAGAAAATAGAGGAAAACAGACCTACACGCGCACACACACACATATGCACACACACACACACCAATGTATTTGTGAATGTGTGTGTTCTGTGTTTAGTTCTGCTGCAGGATGAGATTTTCCAGCTCATCAGCTGATCTGAGCAGAAAGGCAGCCGACTCCCGATAGCCGGCAATCAGCTGACGGACGGCTGAAACCTCTGGTTGGCTGAGCTGTGCTGAGGCTCCGCCCCCTCCACTGGCCCCGCTGCCCCGCCCACTCAGATTGTTGGTGATGATGGAAGAGGAAGAGTTACTGATGTTGGTGGAGGAAACAGACTTCATGCTGAGGTCTGTGGGGCCTGGAAACAGAAGAGCGGAGAGACATAGGACCAAAAAGACAAAAGATGATTTATTAAAGAACTGAAAAGAGTATATCTAGAACTATCTAACATTTTATGACCTCTATAATTTTATTTTTAACAAGAACAAAAGTGAGTAAATTATGCATGTGTTTGTTTATTTATCACCTATTAATGGCTATGTTAAAAGGTGTTTTGCTTTAAATATTTTAAGTACAAAAAGGTAACAATATTAAATTAAAGAAATTACAAAGTTCTGTTGTTTTGATCTAAACTCAAAAACAACATGTACAATGTGATGTAGTACTGCCTTAAGTTAGAACTCAAAGTACAGCAAGTCAGGTGAAAGACTAACAGATAAAACCCCAATCAGGAACACATCCAAACACTGCTAAATGAAAATAACTAAATAAATAAATATAGAAAGAATTAAATCTGTAAATATCATTTTGTTTTATACTGTATGTTGTTCATTTATACTGTATATGGGACAAGTGTCAAGTATTAACAAATACTGTACACTAAAATATTTATAGCCTGGGCTCATTTGCAATGCCAGCCCATAGATGGGCCTTTAGCAATATAAAAACTGTTCAAAATCCATCCATCCATTATCTTTACCCGTTTATTCCATTTTGGGTCACGGGGGTCGCTGGTGCCCATGTCCAGCAATCACTGTGCGAGGGGCGGGGTACACCCTGGATGGGTCGCAAGTCCATCACAGGGCCACATAGAGACAAACGAGACAAACAACCATTCACTCTCTCACTCACACCTAGGGACAATTTAGAGTCACCAATCAGCCTAACATGCATGTTTTTGGTCTGTGGGAGGAAACCGGAGTACCCGGAGAAAACCCACGCATGCACGGAGAGAACATGCAAACTCCACCCAGAAGGCCCCTGGACCGGGGTTTGAACCAGGGACCTGTTCACTGAGAGGCAGCAGCTCTACCAGTTGCGCCACCGTGCTGCCCACTGTTCAAAATATAGTTTAAAAATAATAAATCATTACTCTGTTAAGGCAATTCATAAAACTGATCATAATGACATAATTAAAAGAGTGGTAGTTATTCATGACTTCAGAACTGGTTCTTCAGAAACTGCTTCAGTCTTGATTTAAAATCATTGCAGTCAGAAATAAGGTTGAAATCAGTAGGTAGATAATTCCACGTGTTAATCTCTCTAAAAGAAAAGGCTGTTCGCTCCAGTTAAGTTTTACAACAAGAAACCTTACAGTTCTTTTGAGCTTGTGGATCTGAGAAGAACTGACATGTTTTTCAAAGGCTGTCAAGGCAGCAAACTATTTACAAGTCTCTCGAAAAGAAAATGCAAGGAGGGAAAACCAAGTCTAGCTGGGTGAACAGTGTAATGTAGAACTGACGCGACAATGGCTGGAGATAGAAATGTATAGACTGGGATAAATGGGAGTTTAGAAACAGCTGAGTCTAATGAGGAATGAGTAACAGGTGGCCCACTTAACCTGTTACTCATTCCCCATTAGTCTCAGCTGTAGCTAAATTGCCCTAGCTAAACTAAAAAAGAAAAGGGACCAGAACTGAGCCTTGTGGTACACCTGTATTCATTTTGAGATTTCTCACCACCAATTACAGCACACTGCTTACGATTGGAAAGATATGATTTAAACCACTAATTATGTTAGTCTTTGAATTAAAATATCATGACTCAGTGTGCCAAACACCGTTTTAAGATCTAAAAATACTGCTCCAACTACTTTACTCTGATCATGTGATGATTTGACCTGTTCAATAAAGTAGCAATTGGCAGTCTCTGTGGAGTAATGGGGACAAAAATCAAACTGTAAAGGATTTAAGAGATTATTTGATTTAAGTGTTTCATTAGTTGGTGAGCCACCACCTTCTGCAGTTAAGATGCTTATAGTCTATAATTATATGCCAGATCTGGTGCCCCAGATTTTAAAAAGGGCATATCTCTACCACCTTCCATTTGTTGGGAACATTTCCACTTCATTCCAATTACAGTAATGAGATAAGTGGCACGATAAAAATATTTTAAATTTTTTTCAACAAAGTACCATTTGTATAAAAAAAAATCTTTTGAATGGCTTTTTGTATTTTTATCAATAATAGACATTACTATTATCTATCTACTACTATCTATCTGGTTAGTTTGAAGCAAGGAGCAAGCTGTGGCGTGAGGAATCGTAGCTATACTCGGTTCAACAGAAGGGATTTTAACATCAAAGTTCATGCTCAATAATCCAGGTAAAAAAATCCAACACAGTTAAGTCAGGTCCTCTGGACGGTTTCTTTTTGTTGAAACGTTTCGTCTTTCATCCAAAAGACTTCAGCCCGAGGAGCCACAACAAACTCAGTCCCATAAGAAGCACAGTCACATATCCTGATGCATGCTCAATAATCCAGGTAGAAAAATCCAAAAAAGTTCAATCTGGTCCTCTGGACATTCAAAAAAACAAAACAAAGCAAATCAACAAAAAATGTAGAAACGTTTCGTCTCTCATCCGAGAGACTTCCTCAGTCTGAGGTGCTGTATTCAGCTCAGTCTCTTAAATAGCACCTTCTCAGAGTGGATCAACCAGTTTGCTGCTGACAACCAAAACCAGCTGATCACATGCTCAAGAAGGACCATCAGCCTAACAATGGATCATTAGCACACTGATGGCTGTTTACTGTTCACAGAGGGCTGAGTGATACTAGCAATCACAGCACTGTAAGAGGGGGACAGTTGAACCTGGAGGCCTCCACCCCTGTTTAATGATGGACGATTTCTTTTCACAAAGATGGCCTCCTTTACTCCTCTCTCAAACCATCGTTCCTCTCTGTCCAGGATGTGAACATCTTCATCCTTGAAAGAGTGACCGCTGGCCTGGAGATGAGTGTAGACCGCAGAGTCCTGGCCTGATGATGTTGATCTTCTGTGCTGGGCCATCCTTTTGGCCAGTGGCTGTTTAGTTTCCCCGATGTAAGACTGATCACCCTCCTGACACTGAACAGCATACACAACATTGCTCTGTTTGTGCCGGGGGACTGGATCTTTGGGATGAACCAGTCTTTGCCATAATGTATTTTGGGGTTTAAAAGCCACTGGGACGTTATGTTTAGAAAATAAACGTCTCAGTTTCTCTGATACTCCCTCAACATACGGAATGACCACTGGTCTGGGTCTGGGTTCCTCCTTTTCACCTGTTGGCTGACTGGAATCCTGTTTGGGTTTCTTCTCTGCTTTCAGGAAGGCCCAGTTAGGATATCCACATTGCTCTAGAGCCTGTCTTGTGTGGGATTTCTCCTTCTGCCTGGCTCCTGAGCTAGTGGGGACGCTGTCTGCTCTGTGATACAGAGTCCTGATGACTCCTAACTTGTGCTCCAAAGGGTGATGGGAGCCAAACTGCTAATACTGGTCTGTGTGGGTGGGTTTGCGGTAAACCTCGGTTTGCAAATGTCCTCTATCAGAGACTGAGACTTAGATTGAGATTGCACTTACTGATAATCGGCTTTATATCTGTGACTGATTCCCAACAGTTAATATGTTGGTGCTACTTAACACAACAGATCCTGTTGGCAGGCCTCAGACTGATGAAGTCTTTCGGATGAAAGATGAAACGTTTCCTCCAAAAAAGAAACTGTCCAGATGAGATGATTGAACTTTTTTGTGATGTATTATAAAATATTTTCAAATCAGAACTCCGGGGGTGGGGGGGGGGGGGGGGGGGGGCACGGGGACACCTGGACATGTCCAGGCATCACTCAGGTCTCTCTTGTAAATGAGTCCCCGGGGCTCAGTGGGATTAACCTGTATAAATAAAGGTTGAATGAACTGTGTGAGGGGGACACGAGGACACCAGTACATGTCTCCAGTCCATCACAGGGACACAGAGACAAACAACCACCAAGAGATAATGTAGAGTTCCCAGTCTAACGTGGCTTGTGGGAGGGAACTGGAGCACCCAGAGAAAACCTACATGTGCACAAACAATACAGAAAGAGCCCAAGCTGGAAAGCGAGTTGTGATCTTCTTGCTGAGAGGCAATATCGATAACCACTGTACCACAGTGACACCTCATGAACCACCAGATGCATTTTAATGATTCCATTTTCTCATTAAAAAAATCACTGAACGTACATCAAGAACTGATTACTTTAGCAGACAATCCAATTCAAGATGAACACTAAAACTAATCAGCATTAGTCAATACAACAATGACTATTTTCACTAAATTTTACAGATATTGGACTATAATCTGTGATCCGTAACTTTAAACTAATTAAGTTGCAATGTGGTATGTTGAAATATAGGTAGCTATATTGATTGAAAAATTGTAATAACTGGGTTTTGTCAAAATACGATGAATAAATACTTGTACCTTATCTATGGATACCTTAAATGTTTCCCCTACCTACCATTATACAAAACGGGGTACCCCACTCCATCAGCAGAGCCAAGCGACCCGCCTACCAGCCTCCCCCCATCAACAATAGGGGTATTGATATAGCACAATACAAACAATCAGGCAAAAATGCTACAGACACTCTGCTCCCCCTCATCCATAGACAATTACTGGCAGTCCCCCCCCACCCCCACATTGATAAAAACCGGCAGCAACGTAGCGCTGAGCTAGCAGGCAGGCAACATAGACGTGACTCACCCCCCCCCCTCCCCAGTCAACAAAAAATAAAATACGATTAACGCCCTGTCAAGGGAACTGATTTAGGGGAAACAGAGACCATTTTGAGCAGAAAAGCCTAAAACTTTGAATACATTTCCTTCATGGTAGCAAAACTTTTTACAACAATGTTCAGTCAGGTCATCTGGATGTTTCTTTTTTGGCTGAGACGTTTCGTCCTTCATCCAAAGGACTTCTTCAGTCCGAGGAGCCACCAAACAAACTGATTCTCACAAACAGCATACTCTGAAGTGGAAAAAAACAGTTTGCTGGTGCTAAGATGGCCTCCGGCACCCACCCTCTCCCCTGTCAACTCCTCTGAGGCAGCCATGCCAAGATGGTTCAAAACACCAAAGTTCATGTTCAATAATCCAGTTAAAAATCCAACAATGCAGTCAGGTCATCTGTACAGTTTTTTTTGGGGCTGAGACGTTTCGTCCTTCATCCTAAGGACTTCTTCAATCTGAGAAACCACTAAACAAACTAAGTCCCACAAACAGCACACCATGGTGGACAAAAAAACACTGTAAAGCTTTTTACAATACCAGTTGGGAAATCCTGATATCCAACCATAGTTTGAGGTTTCCTCTTTCAAACGATGTCAAGAAATCCTCAGCGTATTGAAATATAAACCAATTTTACAGGTGTTCTCCAGATTAGCAAGACAACTCGAGCCATATGTGTGGAACTGCTCATGATACCAGGATGATCAGGTATCAGAACGTAGCTTCAAAACGTGTGACACTTTGTGATACTGCTTGACAGTGAGCATAAAGTTATTTTGAAGGTTGGAACAACATGGCTTCAGCTCTATTGTTTCTCTATATAAGATGGTTTTAGTATACAGTATACTACTATTCCCACTTGGTGGTTTTTCACTTATCGCGGGGCTTCAGGGTACAGATCCCCCACGATAAACGAGGGACTACTGTAAAAACATTGTCATAAAAAATGGTGGGTGATATGCATTCCTCCAAAGAAGGCTAGGCCTTTAGCCTCATAGTTTTTCTCACAACTCGAATCTTTCAAACCTCTTTTCTTTGCCACCAGTCTTCAATCTTACCATTGCTTGGAGCAGCAAAGCCTGTTGTCAGGGATACGGGGTGTTGAATGGTGGCACCTGGGCCTGGATATGCACGGTAACCATAACTGAGGCCGGATCTGTTGATGTAGAGTTGTGTGTCCTGGGAAGAAAAGGCTGAAGCAGCTAAGGAGTAGGCAGAATGAGCGAGGGACACCGGCTCTCTCTGTGCACCACCACTGCTGGTCAACTTCTCCAGAGAGACCTGCTCATCCTGCAAAGGGACAGAGGAGTAGCAGCAGGTAGTTAACAAATCAGCAGCATGTTATCCAGAATAAACAATAAATCCCAAAAACACCCAGAAGTTATCAAGAAACAATAGGAATCTGAAATAAAGAAGGACTTTTCAGGAATTGAGGGGGGATTACCTAGAATCAAAAGAAAGTAATCAGGAATAAAGAGGAAGTTTAATTCAATACAGACTATTTATATAGCATCAGGGCAATGTACAAAAACATTCACATCCAAAACAAGGATTTTGCAATTTAAATGTCCTAATCTGGTTTATACTGTAATTGGTATCAAACAGTGACATAACTGCACTGGGATAAATGTCATGCATTTAAATATAATAAATGCAATACAATTTATGTTTTACTGCACTGACTCTGTTGATTTTGTTTGTCTAGTTTGCCTGTATTCAATGTAATTCATTTAATTAAATCACGACTGTAAACATGCGGTAACAGGTATGCACTTGAAAGAAGAGGAATGGAAGTCAGCCGTAGTAAGACAGAGTACATGTGTGTGAATGAGAGGGAGGCCGGTGGAACAGTGAGGTTACAAGGAGCAGAGGTCACAAAGGTGCAGGACTTCAAGTACTTAGGGTCCACTGTCCAGGAAAATGGGGTGTGGTAAAGAGGTGAAGAAGAGGGTCCAGGCAGGATGGAGTGGGTGGAGTAAAGTTTCAGGAGTGATTTGTGGCAAAAGAGTGTCAGCAAAGGTCAAAGGAAAAGTTTACAAGACAGTGGTGAGACCAGTTATGTTGTATGGTCTGGAGACAGAGACATGGACAAAAAGACAGGAGACAGAACTGGAAGTGGCAGAAATGAAGATGTTGAGGTTCTCCTTAGGAGTGACAAGGATGGATAAGATTAGGAATGAGATCATCAGAGGTACAGCACAGGTTGCACAACTGGGAGATAAAGTTAGAGAGACCAGACTGAGATGGTTTGGACATGTCCAGAGGAGGGACAGTGGGTATACTGGTAGAAGGATGTTAGAAATGCAGCTGCCAGGAAAAATACAAAGAGGAGATATATGTATGCAGTTAGAGAGGACATGGAGGTAGTTGGAGTGAGGACAGAGGACGCAGAGGACAGAGATGGAGGAGGATGACCCCTGAAGAGGGAAAAGCCAAAAGAAGAAGTAGACAGTAAACATCTGATGTATTGCACCAGATTTAGCCTCGGGCTATATTTCATCTACACAATAAACAAATACCACCAATACCTGTACACAGTAAAGCATCCAACATCAATGAAACAAGTAAAAATTGATATTAAACAAATAAATAAAGAAGAAGACGCTTTACTGTGATTGTACAGGAGGTACGTAAAAATAGTTAAGCAGAAATCTTTTCACAGCAACAATAGTGCAGGTTTTAAAAGAGCACGAAATAAATAAAATATAAAATATACTCTTAGGAGCAAGAGTTGTGCAAAATATTTATAGAAGCATATATATGTGTAAAAAATAAAAATTTACATAAATAAAATTTTAAAAGACAAACATATTGGGATTCATGTTTAACAATGTTTGTTTGTGTTTAAAATATTCATCACCTAGTCTTGTGACACCCACAGGCACGAAGCTGAGCCTGTTAGTGCGAACAAGAAGCTGAGTTTTAGCCTGGTATTGTGTAAAAGACAACACTAGAGTTGAACTCTGAACATGAATACTAGAAATAAATCTGAACCCCTTTAAGCACATGGTGCCCAATGAGTTTATTTGGATGCATTAGTAACTGTAAAAAGATCAGCCTCTGTGAAACTCCCTCATGTATGCTTGTTTTTATGCTTTTTTTCCTGTTTGTTTGTTTGGGTTCTCTACTTTTATGTTAAATGCCCAAATAAATTTGAAAAATGAAAAAATAAATAAATAAATGGATAAATAAAGTAAAAAAAAAAAAAGAACTGAATCAAATGTGAAGATCTGTGATGTACTGAACCCCGGAGGGGACATGGGGGGTTATTTATTTTTTTAACCTTTGCGTTCCCTCGCAGTACTGTAGTGTTACCTCACAGACAACAAACGTTCAAAGAAACTGGTCCATATGACATTAACCTTTTTTTGTTCTCACAACAACAGCAGCAATGGAACAGACACCTGTATTTGAGGTTCATGGAGTTTTGTTTTGAAATCAGCCTTAAATATAAGGATATCCAGTGTGTGCTGCAGTGGTAAAATTAGTTTTACGTTGGATATTTCACGTTCATGCTCCGTGGACTCAGCGGTGGCGTCCTCGTTCGAGCCGATGCAGGCAGTCTGATGTCAGTCAGCTGCTCTGTCTGTCACTCTGTGGAGCGATGGTTCGCTTAGGGACCGTCAACAAATTACCAAACTAATGAGCTTGGTCTGAACACCGTTATAATATTTAAATATATTTCCAGAGTATTTGTCAAAGCAGCACCATGTATCATAAGTTTTCTCAGTATATTTCTGCCTGGTAATAAATCATGAATTTTCTCACCATTTAAAATCCAAAAGAACAAGGTGGCACTTACGTTTCAAAAGTACTGTAACTTTCTTTTAAAGCATCAAAGTTCATTCAAGGATTCAAGGTTCTTTATTTGTCGTTCGCAGCACATGTGGTGCATGTGGTGGAACAAAACTGTGTACACAGGGTCCCAGTTACATCCAACAAAAGTATTAAAATGTGTGTAAAAGAAAAACAGTAATAAGATCTAAGATATGAACTAAGAAAAACGTTAACTAAAACACTAAGCACACACTTCTGGAGGGCTTCATCAGTCTGAGGAGTCCCAAGTAAACTGTTTTCCCCACTAAGCAGTACACTCCTTTAGTGTACCAACCAGTTTGCTGGTTTTGCTGGTGACTGATGAATCCCAATAGAGGGTGAAACGTCTTTCCACAAAAAAAAAAAAAAAAACTGTCCAGACGACCTGACTGACCATTATTATATTTGCTATCTGGATGATTGAGCATGAACTTTGATGCTTTAAAAGAAAGTTCCAGCACTTTTGAAACACAAGTGTCACCTTGTTCTTTTGGATTTTAAATGGTGAGAACATTCATGATTTATTACCATGCAGAAATATACTGAGAAAACTTTAGTTATGATACATGGTGCTGCTTTGGCAAATACTCTGAAAATATGGTAATTTGTTGACGGTCCCTAAGCGCACCATTGCTCCTCGGAGTGACAGACAGAGCAGCTGAAGGAAATCAGACTGCCTGCGTCGGCTCGAACGAGGAAGCCACCGCTGAATCCACGGAGCATGAACGTGAAATATCCCAACGTAAAATTAATTTTACCACTGCAGCACACAATGGATATCCTTATATTTAAGGCTGATTTCAAAATTCAATTCAGTTTATTTATATAACACCAAGTCACAAATTCCATGAACCTCAAATACGGGTGTCTGTTCCATTGTTGCTGTTTGTGACGTAATACTACATACAGTACAGTACTGCGAGGGAATGCAAAAGAAAAAAATCCTCCACGTCCCCTCCGGGGCTCTGTAGTGATGCATTCAATAACAAACTTGTAAATTTAACAATCCATACCAAAATTCTAGCTGCTCTAAGAAACTGAAGGTTAGATGTCCCATTTCGGTCTCCATAGATTATTTTCAGTATTATAGTTGTATCCTGGTTTAATAACATGATGACATTTTACAGAAACAGTAAGTTCTGTAGGTTCCTGTTCAAATTTCAGTGTAAATCCCCGAATATACATGTTATACTTGAATGCTGAACGTGGCCTTAAAATGATGTGTTTTAGCGCAACATTTTTTAAGTAATCAAATGCACAGATTGCATAATATCCCAGCTCAAGGCCCAGCTTTAAAAGTTACGGTTTGCCACTGTAAACGTGGGATCAAAAACGATATTCATAATGAGTTTTAGTGGATGGATTATTTTAATATGAAGGAACAATTTCACTATTATTTGCAGTATTTCACAATAGAGAGGTAGCAAAAGTTAGTAAGTTAAACTTTTTTATTTATTTGTCACACAATAAAAATAAAACTGAAAACACAAATGCAAAAAAAAATGCTCAATTGATTTTTCCTCACAAGATCTTCTGACATTTTCAGACCCATCATTGGATGTGTATGTACAATTAAATAAGTTTTGGAGTCAATCCAGTTTAAGATGGCTGATACAGCCAAATGATGAAATAAAGATAAACAAAATGACTACAAGTCAGTCAGTTTTATGGCTACTGACATATAATTGGTGTGGTAGTAACTGAGTGTCCTTCACATCACATATATTGAGCACTAACAGATCACACAGGATGTTACAATATTTCATGTGATGGTGCAAGAAGTTATTTCAGGGGTTTGACAAAAATGGCTGTATCTCAAAGCCACAAACACAAAGACAAACCTACCTGGTAGGTTTCAAGGCGCATCCTTTTTGCAGCATTGCGGGATTCACTCTCACAGGCAGCAGCCAGGATGTTCTCAGCCATGGCTGAGGTGAGGTGAGGTGGAGTTGGCCGGGTCTAAAGACAGCATGAAGAAACACAATATACTATATATGATTTACAGAACAACCAGAACGAGGACATCCATCCAACCATCCATCCATCCATCCATCCATCCATCCATCCATCCATTATCTTTACCCGCTTCTTCCATTTTGGGTCACGGGGGTCGCCGGTGCCCATGTCCAGCAATCACTGTGCAAGGGGCAGGGTACACCCTGGACAGGTCGCAAGTCCATCACAGGGCCACATAGAGACAAACAAGACAAACAACCATTCACTCTCTCACTCACACCTTGGGATAATTTAGAGTTACCAATCAGCCTAACATGCAAGTTTTTGGTCTGTGAGAGAAAACCCATGCATGCACGAAGAGAACATTATTATTATATTGTATTATTACTATTATCAATATTACATTATTTTTATAATTTATATTTTTGCAATTCTTGTGTATAACTGGGACCTTGGGTACACAATTTTATTCCACTTCATGTACCACATGTGGTGCGAATGATGATAAAGAACCTTGAATTCAATTCAATTTATTTATATAGTGCCAAGTCACAACAGAAGTCATCTCAGGGCACTGAACAGAATCAAGCAATGATCTTCCTGAGAGTTTCCATCTGTACTGTATTTGAGACCTGGGGGACAGCTGGAAAATTCCCATGTTCACAAAATCAATCAATCAATCAATCAATCAATCAATCAATCAATCAATCAATTAATCAATCAATCAATCAATCAATCAATCAATCAATCAACACAAAATTTTAATTAAATTAAGTCCTGAAACTCAGGTTCATATGCAAAGGAAACCATTTTAACTCTGGTTGTACTTTTACCTCTTCTTTGATTTAGAAAAAGCTTCTTCAGTGTGTGGAGAGGTGAAATGAATGGGTCTGAGTTTTGGATTGTTCTTCTAAAGCCAAATGATATTTTGGGAAAATTACTCTTGACAGAACATAGTCGACTTAGAATCAATGTGTACAAAAGCAAAATAATCTGAAGAGTTGTGAACGATTACATCCAACGTTGGCAACTAAATTCCTTGAAATCATTGAAGTAGGCACACCAACAAACCATATAACACTGAACAGATATCACTTTACCTCCATGCCATTCTTTTTCATGCGTCGGCAGGATTTGAGGTAGGTGCGGATGCGCTTACGAGCGCGTTCCTGAAATTCTGGGAACTGTCTGCTGCAGGACTCAATAATGGCTTGGATTTTCTCCTTGGGCTGTTTGGAGATGGGTACCATCCGATCCAAGTTCTCATCCACAAACAGGCGCACGAACATCTGAAAACACCAAAACATAAAAAAAAAAAAAAATTAAACTATTTGGGGTGGTACTATCTTGTTCAATTTGCTCAAGATAAATGGCTTATTTAAATGTTATGTATACCCCTTGAAAAAAGTAATTGTACTTCTTAAGAATATATTGATACCCTCTGAAAATGTATTTCCATTTTTCGAGCACTTCAGAGCTGTTAAAATCACACTTTGACAATAGATTTCTGTTCCTCATAGTAGGAAAGTCCTTTTAGTTGTTTGTCATGTGTTTATGTATTTTCTTAACACAGCAGTTTACTCTCAAGACTGCAGGTTTACTTGTGGTTCCTAGAGTTTCCAAAAGTAGAATGGGTGGCAGAGCTTTGAGTTATCAAGCTCCTCTCTTGTGGAACCAACTTCCAGTTTCTTACTGTGAGGCTGACACCTTGTCTACTTTTAAGACTAAGCTGAAGTCTTTCCTTTTTGATAAATCCTATAGTTAGGGTCAGCTTGGGTTTCCTGAGATATCCTTTAGTTCTGCTGCTATAGGTTTGGACTGCTGGAGGACAAGCTGACTACATCTCTATCTGCAGCTGTCTTTACTTATTCTACTGTTCATGTTTATATTTGTAATTATTTATTTCTTAAACTTATGTTTTTCTTACCAAAGAAACACCTGGACCAGCCATTCTGCATTTGTCTGTCTCTTTCCTGTCCTAACTCCATCCAGTCAAGGCAGAGGGTTGCACATCCTGAGCCCTGTTCTGCTCCTTTCTTCTTATTAAACAGTGCAAATGAATTTTACTTATCCACTGTCACCAATGTGCTACTCAGGATGACAGATTGTGAGGAAGAGAAGTTTCACCATAATCTGCTGGCTTTTACTAATGGGCATTTTATAATGTACATGAATGGTTTTGTACAATCCCCTAAGATGACATTTGTTGAGAAATACAGAAGTATGTAAATAAAATAATACCAAAGCTTTTTACTTTAAAAATGAAGGCCAAATTAATGCCATCCAGAGGAGGTGAAAGGCTGCAAAGTTTGTTCCTACAATGCTCAGGTCCAGAAACCACAACATTTGACTTGTTGGAGTGTAAAGTCAGAAAACTGACAACCATCCAAATGTCAATGTCTCAGAAATAAGCTCCAAATCTAAGTAACTTTTTGGATTTGTCTAATTTTATGAATAAATATAACTTACTAAAATTAAATGAAAACAATAACTTGGAATGGAAGCTAATCAAAAGTTAAGAGTTCTGGTCCAAGCACAGAACCCTGAGGAACTCCATGACTAACGAGTGTTTAAAGAAGACACAATATTTATATTTGCAAACTGGAATCTATCAAACAAATATGACTTAAACCATTTTAGAGCATTCCTGTAATCCCAATTTCATACTCAAGCCACTGTACTAAAATACAGAGATCAGTTGCATCATATGCAGAGCTGGGATCTAACTGGACAAGACAACAAGACAAAGCAAGGAAGGAGACAAGTCCATTGTCTAAAAGTATGGACACATGTCTACTGTCTAACAAAAAGAGTATGGACACAAGTTCAGTGTCTAACTAGACAAGTGTAGACACAAGTCCACTGTCTAACAGGACAAGTATGGACACAAGTCCACTGTCTGACAGGAAAAGTATGAATACAAGTCCACTGAAAAACAAGACAAAGATGGAGACAAGTCCATTGTCTAATAGGACAAGTATGGATCCAAGTCCACCATCTGACAAGACAAGTGTGGACACAAGTTCATTGTCTAACAAGACAAGTATGGACACATGTCTACTGTCTAACAAAAAGAGTATAGACATAAATCCAGTGTCTAACTCGACAAGTGTGGAGACAAGTTTACTGTCTAACAGGACAAGTATGGACACAAGTCCAGTGTCTACAAGGACAAGTGTGGATACAAGTCCACAGTCTAACAGGACAAGTGAGGACACAAGTCCACTTTCTAATGGGACAAGTATGGACACAAGTCATCTGTCTAACTGGACAAGTGTGGACACAGATCCACTGTCTGACAGGACAAGTATGGATACAAGTCTAGTGAAAAACAAGACAAACATAGAGACAAGTCCACTGTCTAACATGACAAGTACGAACACTAGTCCACTGTCTAACAAAACAAGTTTGGACACAAGTCCACTGTCTACCAAGACAAGTAAGGAAACAAGTTCACTGTATAACAAGAAAACAATGGACACAAGACCACTATCTAATAGGATAAGTATGGACACAATTCCAGTGTCTGAGGCCCTGAAGCCATCATTAGTAGCTTCCACCAGTGCTATGATGAGCTCTTATCTTTGACTGAAACTCTTTAAACTTGAACTTTACTTTTATGTTTTAATTAAAATGATTTTAGGTTTGTTTAATATGATAAAAACACCTAAAGCCTAGAGTAAATGATATTCTTCAGGTTTATACCACACACATACAGCAGTGTGTTTTTGTCTCAGGGTTAAGCAACCTTCCAGCCCTTGTCTAACCGGTAATTGGACCCCCCCCCCCCCCCCCCCGACTCCTGAGTATTACCCAACAATACTACGGTCAGGCCCTCTTAGGCTGGTTTTGAGAAAGATTCAACCAGGCACTAACAACCTTCATCTGCAAGATGAACCCCTATTTCACCTCATAGCTCTTAGAGTCAAGTAGCAGTGACCCCAAAGTTTACCATAAAGTACCCTGCATTAATGGCTGCTCTTCCTCTATTTGACGTTTCACAACTGGTACAAGACTGGTAATTTTCCTAGGCCAGGACAAGTTGACCATATGGGGATACTGTTCAAAAATCTAACTAAATAACCGTTTAAAACCTCCCAAAATCTCAGAACCAAGCACACTTCCTCAGTAAATTCAGCAATGAGCGTGTATCATTCAGATGCCATCAGGTAAATGAGTCCAACTCTGTAATTTTCATACTTTGTGTTTTTAATCATAAATTTGCACAAGGTTAGCTTCAAAAATCCAACAGCAGTGCAAGCAAATGCATTTCAAAAAATGCAGTTATAATGAATGAAATAAAAATCAGAAAACGGATGAAAATCCAAATTCCTCTAGGTGTGGATACACCAATCTCTTACAATAATCTCTTGTAATCAGCCTACGCCCTAACTGTGCTGTCCCTAAGAAAAACCACAAAATGTCACCTATATTTTTTTTAATCGGGTAAAAGGGTCCAAAAAGGCTGGTTTCTTGGTTCCATGGTTATCCCATGATTGAATCGGTTTTCCAGGAAAAAGGAAAATTCCTACAGCCTTTGTTGAAAATGGTCATCAAATAAAATTAATTCCATTCAGAGACTTGTTTAGAGTTATCTGGGGTCAGTCTTCTTGAAGGGTGATCATGTGCTGCTGAGCGGTTTTTCATTGCTTTAAGTTTTCATCTTCTGTTCTTGTTTTTTCAGCTCTTCTGCAGCCAAAATCTTCCCTCTTCAATCTTCAGATCTGATCCAAGTCTTCAGGGCTTGATGACCACATTCCTCTTCTACCCGAAATGACTGGACAACTTTCCTCTGCTATCTTGTCTTCTTAAGCTCATCTCTTGTCTCTAATTGGCTTATTTCTGACCTAATCATTCATTCTCTGATTGGCTCATCTATGATCTAACATCCATTTTGAAAACTTGTCAACCATTTTGAAGACTTTTCAACAGTTCAACAGTTTGCCTCCTTTTTTAACTTGTGGTTTTTATGCAACAGCTTGTCTAGACAGCATACTTTCTTTCTGTTGTAAGCTTGTGACAGGCGCTCTGCCTAATGGTCTTTTGGAGTGTTGCAACTTTTGCTCACTTCCTTCTATCTGGCAGCCACTTCTATTATTTCTCAACTCTCAAACTTTAATTTTAAACATAAAGAAGTACTTACTAATAGGGATATTAACTCACTTTTAATCCTAAACGTAAAAAAATATACTTACTAAAAAAGAGGTATAAACTCACAGTTTGTGCCTTTTTGTAACACGAGACAAGACAACACAACACATCTTTAACAGGATGTGTGTGTGTGAAGCCTAACCACACTGCTGAGTATCCTGTCACTTGCTTCAACTGACACTGTTTCTCAACTCTCAACCTTTAATCTGAAACGTAAAAAAGTATTTACTAATAGAGATATAAACTCACAAAAACCCCTTCTTTTAAAATCAGTTGACTTAACAATTAAAAGTGAAAGTCAGATCTATCTTTTACAGTCACTTAATGAATACTTCTTTGATCACAAAATAAATTATATAGGATATTTTTACTTACAAAAAAATCACAATAACATTTGTTTCAACACCTTGACATACAGACATACAATCTTTATTTTGATCAACACACCCACAAAACTTCTTCTATTGAACATTAATTAACTTTTAAGATTGCTTTTACAAATGTCCACCCCCCAATACATGGGCAGTCTGACCTCAACACCTCTTTTCATCCACCTAATTTGATAAGCCCCTCACTACTTCACGGTTCGTTTATCACAAACTCGCTCTATCTCGGTTTTTCAAAGAAAGATTGGACATGACACACAATTGGATGATTGATAGATGAGCCACAAGGTTGACA